TTTATAGAGAACCAGCAGTTTCCAGGTGACAAACATTGTGTGATTATTCCCCTCTTTGAGAGTTGAACTGAATGGGTTGAAAATCTGTGTTGGACAAAGAAGTACTGGAAGGTCATTTTTATGCCCATGAGTCACAGGATATCCACAATTTATTCTTCAGTCATAAAAATGGCATGTGGAATCATTGGGACTGGGGAGGTCAGCTTAAATTAAAGATTTTTTATGACTGGTGGTTATATTAAATCTTTCAACAATCCTTAGAAAGGATTTGAAACATGTCAAACTTATTTCTTTCCTTTTTTTTTCAAGTGAGAGGTTTTATTGCTCCAACTCACTGAATCAAGGGAAAAATGAATTCCAATTCATCCAGCCCTTGACCTGCCAATGTCATATTGCTCCTGAGAATCAAGTCTTAGTCTGTCTGAAGTCAACCTCTTCTAATTAAAATAAAAGTTGTAAAGCAAAGTATGTCAATACTTTATTATAATAATTCCAGATTTAAATAGTACATACATCCAAGAAAAGTAAAAAAAATATATACATTTTTTATTTCTCTCACCTGGAAACTAAAATCACAACACCTTGGTAAGATTAGGGGACTTTGATTAACTTAAATATTTATAAGGTCAGTGAATGAGAGGGGCTGGAAAGACAGTTCAGGGCTTCAGAGAGCTTGCTGCTCTTCCAGAAGACCCAAATTTGATTCCCAGCATCCATATTAGGTAACTCACAAACACCTGTAACTCCAGTTCTGGTGGCTCTGAAACCCTCTTCTAGCCTCTGTAGGCACTGCACTCATTTGTATACTTGTATACACACACACACACACACACACACACACACACACACACACGATTTTAACTTCTTTTAAAAATTTATTATTTTTATGTGTATGAGCATATTTCCTGGATGTATGTGAGTGCACCCATGTCATGCAATGCCTCAGAGGTCAGAAGAAGGCGTTAGATTCCCCTGGAACTGGAGGTAAGGACAGTTCGTACCTGCCATGTGGGTGCTGGGAACAGAACCTAGGTCCTCTGCAAGAGCAGTCAGTGCTTTTAACCACTGAGCCCTCTCTCCGGCCCCAATTTTAACATTTTTTTTTAAAGGGCTGGAGAGATGGTTTAGCAAATAAGCTCACTGGTTTCCCTTGCAAAGGACCCAGATTTGATTCCCAGCATCCATGTGGCCACTAACAACTGTCCATAACTCCAGTTCCAGAAGATCTGACGTCCTCTTCTGGCCTCCATGAGCATTTCACGTACATGGTGCACTTACATACATGTAGGCAAAACATTCATACACATAAAAGTAAATAAATCAAAACTTTTTTTAAATGTTTAGAGCCAAGTGGGAGGTATCTGTGTGTTGAGAAACATAAAGAATTGGCATGTATGAAGCACCAATGTTTACCAGACTTAGAGCTAGGTTCAGGGGACTCAAACATAAATGCGGCCCTTTAAAGAATTTTTTTTGATATTTTTTGTTGTTGGTTGTGTGTATGTGGTGTATGTGTGTGTAAGTGTTCATGTGTGTGCAGGTAGAGGTGTGGGTGTGTGCATACATGTGGAGGCCAGAGGTTGGCATCAGGATCTTCCTCTATCACGCGCCACCTTATTTCTTTTGAAAGATTTATTTTTTTATTCATGTGCATGCGCACGTGCATTTGGTACCCATGGAGACCAGAAGAGGGCGTTGGATTCCCTGGAGCTGGAGTTACAGGTGGTTGTGAGCTGCCTGATGTGGATGTTGGAAACCCAACTCTACAAGAGAAGCCAGTGCTCTTAACTGTTAAGTAATCTCCAGCCCCTCCACTTTATTTTTTGAGACAAAGTCTCTCATTGAGCCTGAAGCTCACTGAATCAGCTAGACTAGCTGATCAAGCTCCAGGGATCTGTCTGTCACAATCTCCAGAGGGCTAGGATTACAAGTATGTACACACCACACCTGACTTTCTACATAGGTGCCAAGGATCCAGACTCAGGTCCTCATGCTTGTGCAGCAAGCACTTTTACTTAGTGAGTCATCCCGCCAGCTCCTTTCCTTGTTTTGTTTTGTTTGTTTTGTTTTGGTCTTTTTGAGACAGGGTCTCCCTATATCCCCAGCTGGCCCGGAACTCACTATGTAGACCAGGCTGGCCTCAAACTCACAGAGATCCACCTGCCTCTGCCTTCCAAGGGCTGGGATTAAAGGCGTACACCACCACACCTGGCTTGTTTTAATTTTTTTTAAAGACAGGGCCTCTTGTATTCCAGGCTGACCTTCAACTTGCCATTTAGCTGAGGATGACCTTGAACTCCTGATCCTCTAGCCTTCATCTCTAAGTGCTGGAATTACAGGCATACACCACTGTGCCTGGCTTCTCCTAGGTTGTTAAAGAATGGAATGCATAACAACTTCTTCCCAATGTAATAAATAACTAGGCTGAGGCAGTGTGGACTCTGGACCAGCCACAGCTGGTATATGGACCTGCATTGGATCCCAGGACCCATGTGAAAGCTGGGCACAGTGGCAAAGCATCCCCTCTGTCATCTCAGTGCTGGGGAGGTAGAGACAGGATGATCCCTGGAGCTTGCTGGTAAACCAACGTATCTGAATCAGTGAGCACCAGGTTCAGTGAAAGACCCTGGTCTCAAAAAGTAAGATGGAGAGTGATAGAGGAGACACCTGATGTCAACCTCTGGCCTCCACACACATGCACAACTTGTGTATGTGCACTTTCATGGGCACATACATACACAGACACACACACACACACACACACACACACACACACAGAAGGAACAAATGAAGGAAAGGAGTGGAGTCACTGAAGACTCCACTGAAGGCCCCTGCCTCCCTCCCTTCCATCAGTTTAGGCACAGACTCCCCACCTTGTGTGTTGGTTGCTTTTCTGTCACTGTGACCAAATTTCCCAACCTAGACAACTTAAAAAAGAAAAGATTTATTTTTAATGTTTATTTTTATTTTATATGTGTGTTTTGTGTTTTATTTATATGAGTGTTTTGCCTGCATGTACTTATATGCACCACATGTGTGCAATGCCCTTGGAGGCCAGAGGAGGGCCTAGAGTTATGGATGGTTGTTAGCTACAATGTGGGTGCTAAGAACTACACCCAGGTCCTCTGCAAGAGCAGCCAGTGCTCTGAACTGCTGAGCCATCTCTCCAGCCCCAAGGAAAGATTTATTTTGCTTCAAAGAGTTCAGTTCATCATGGTAGGAGCTCAGTTCATGTCAGGCCAGGAAGCAGAAAACAAGACAGGAAGTGATCTGGTATAATGTACCTCCAAGGACCTGCCCCTATAGACCCACTTCCTTTAGATAGGCTCTCTACCCTCTAACATTTGCAGAGCCTCCTAAAACAGCAGCTCCAGTTGGGAGCAAACACTGAAAACATGAACATAGCCAAGCATGGTGGTACACCCCTTTAATCCCAGCACTCAGGAGGCAGAGGTAGGTGGATCACTGTGAGATCAAGGCCAGCCTGGTCTACAAAGAGAGTTCCAGGCCAGGTGGGGCTACAGGGAGACCGTGTCTCAAAAAAAAATGAAGAAATGAAAGAAAGAGAAAGAAAGAAGAAAGAAAGAAAGAAAGTAAGAAAGAAAGAAAGAAAGAAAGAAAGAAAGAAAGAAAGAAAGAAAGAAAGAAAGAAAGAAAGAAAGAAAGAAAAAGAAAGAGAAAGAAAGAAGGAAAGCAAGCAAGCAGGCACATGCTGGGCATTTCAGTTTTAAGCCATAACATCTTGTCTTTTGGTGATGGATTCAGTCACACTAGGCAAAGTGCTTGCTGCTCAAGCATGAGGACCTGAGTTCTAATCTCCTCACATCCACATAAAAACCAGATGCAGCACTACTGGAAAGGGTAGAGACAATACAATCCTAGGGAGCTTGCTGACTAGCCAAAATGGTGAGGTCCAGGTTCAGTTAGAGAGCCTGTCTCAAAAACATTAAGTGGAGATTGACAGAGGAAGATAAGCAGTCAACTCTTAGGATCCACAGGAGCATACAGAGACAAGCAGAGGCACACACACACACACACACACACACACAAACACAGACACACATACATAGACACACACACACACACACAGCACACACACACACACACACACACACACACACACGACTCTATATGTCAAGGAGAAACACATGCTACAGTTTGTCCCTCATCTGAAAAGGAAGCTTGGGAGTGGGCAAGGAACTATGGAGATCCATCTCTGGAACCCAGTGCCTGCCCAACTGCCTGGCACCAACGTCTCTCAAATCCCAGCCCAGTGACCTAACTGCATGTTTCATGCCAAAAGTTAGGGTGGGGCAACAAACTTCCCTCCAATTTTTCCAGGTGTGTAGAGGAATAACTTTTCTGAGGGTCCTTGAGCTTTTGAAACTATTAATTTTTAATGCACATAAAATAATGCGTATAATACATGGTGACTGTGAAGGAATAATAAAATAAGCCACCTGGGAATACATAACAGTGCCCAAATGTGAAAGAGGGGCTGGAGAGCTGGCTCAGCACTAAGAGCATTGGCTGCTCTTGCAGAGGACCCAGGTTTGGTTCCCAGCACCTATGTCGGAGGGCTCACAGCCATCTGAAACTCCAGCTCCAGGGGCTCTGACGCCCTTTTCTGGCCTCCAGAGGAACCTGCACACACACACACACACACACACACACACACACACACACACACACACACACACACACACACACCTTTTTTTAAGTACAAAGAACTCAGAGGACAGAAATGTCAAAGGGACAAAAACACACCAACTTGAAGGGGTTCCCAATTACGAAGGAAAAGTCACTGGCCTCGTCTTCAGCCCAGCTCCCCACGGGAGCCTTCAGGGAGACTGGGAGGAACCAGGTCAATCAGGGCGGGATCTTTCCGGATGCTCAGAATCCCGCTGTTACCCCGGCTTCGCGTTTTTTTCTTTTGGTCCTTCTCGGCTTCCATCACAGGCCCACTATCCGCATGCTTGAGACTCGGTCGCTATGGCGACCACGCAGCCAATCAGCGCATACCATCCGCTCTCTCTGACGCTGCGGGTATCCCTGCGTACCACAGTAGGTTTCTGCGGGTTCCGGGAGGCGGACAGCCATGCTGAAGGCCAAAATCCTTTTCGTGGGGCCCTGTGAGGTGAGGCCGGGGCCGCGGGGCCCGGGGGAACCATAAGACTGAGGTTGTCCTGGGAGAGGGTAGCCTGGTCCCAGCATCTCCACTGGGGAGCACAGCTGGCCTTACCGAGAACTCCCTGGCTGCCAGACCTTATCCCTTCCACCCCACGAAACTGGAGAGTAGTGTGCCCAGGCCTGAAGGCCCACGGGTGTGAATGACATCTTTAGAACCAGAGCCTGGGCCTCATGACACCCGCAACTCTTCCCCCTCTCCCCAAAAAAAATATTTCCACGAAAGGTTTGGTCAAGCCAAGACCAAGGACTTTACTTCATTATATAGCCTTGGAACAATTGGCTATGAGGGTGCGTGCGTGTGTGGTGTGGCAGTGGGAATTCCTGCATATCTAGTCCATATTTGACACCAAAATAAAGGTCAGATGAACTGAAACTTTATGTGCAAATAATAATAATAAACTGTAGAAAGAAGCTGGGTGTGATGGTGCATGCCTGTAGTCCCAGGACTGGAGAGACAGAGGTAAGAGGATGGCCACAAGTTCAAGGCTAGCCTAGACTACACACTGAGTTCTAGGTCAGCCTGGGCTACTGTAAGAGACATTGTCTCAAAAAACAAGATGGACTGATGGACGGACGGATGGATGATGAAGGGGTAAATAGTCTCAAATTTCAGTCCATATGAGTCCAGACTGCAATGTGAGATCCTGTCTCAAATAACAAAACAGAGACAGAAAGGGTTAGATAGATCTTCTCTGTCCTCACTGCATATATAAATCACTTGATTGGTTTGTTAGAACTCAGATCTCTGGGTCTTACATTAGAATTTTAGGTTAGATTAGGTTATGTGTTGGTTGTTTGGTGTCAGAGTCTTACTGTGTAGCCCATGAGGAACCTGTGAATTCAGATTCAGACTGCACATGGTAACATTTAAAGGTGACACTGAGGTACTTGGTCCAAGACCCAGGCAGGAGAACTACTGAAGATTTATAGGTGAACATATGCAAAGGTGTGTTTTTAATCTTGAGTTAGGATGCTGGGGATATAGCTCAGTTGGTAGAATGCCTGCCTAGCGTACATGAAGCCCCTGGTTCCATCCTTTGTACTAAGTAATCCTTTCATGATAGAATATGCCTGCAATCCCAGCAGTTGGGAGGTGAAGACAAGAGGATCAGGAGTTCGAGGTCATCCTTGACTACATGGCAAGTTTGAGGACAGCCTGGGATATATGAGGCCCTGTATCAATAGCAACAAGAAAAATACCAACCTCCCTGTAATCTTGCATTGGGGAGTTTTTTGGGGGGGGTTGTTGTTGTTTTTTGTTTTTTGTCTTCTTGGGACAGGGTCTTCCTGTAGCCCCAGCTGACCCAGAACTCACTATGTAGACCAGGTTGGTCTTGAACTCACAGAGATCCACCTGCCTCTGCCTCTTGAGTGCTGGGATTAAAGGCATGTGCCATCATGCCAGGCTTTTTAAATTTTTATGTACTTATTTTTATTATATGTATATGAGTATTTTGCCCGCATGTATGTAAGTGCACCACATGCATGCAGTGCCTTCAGAGGCCATCGGATCCCCTGGAACAGATGAGGATCTGCTGTATGGGTGCTGGGAAGTGAAAGTGGGTCCTCTGGAAGAGCAGCCAGTCCTCTTCACTATTGAGCCATCTCCCCAGCAAGATCTTATTATGTATAACACAAAAGGAAGGTCTAAGCCAGGTGTAGTGGTGCAAGCCTATAATCCCAGCATTCAGGATGCGGAGACAAGAAGATTACCATGAGTTTGAGACTAGACTGGGCTACATAGTGGTTCTGAGGCTAGCATGGGTGAGAGGGGTGGAGAGAGAGACTTAAAAGAATTGAGGAGTGGTTAAGAGCATATACTCTTTCAGAGGACCCAAGTTTCATTTCTAGCACCCATGCCAGGTGGCTCATGGCCACCTGTAACTCTAGCTCCAGGGGATCTGACACCTCTTAAACCTCTGGCCTCTGAGGGCACTAGAACTCACATGCTCAGACATGCATGTAATTTAAGGTAATAAAAATAAATCTTTTTTTAAAAAAAATGAGAGCAGAGTTGAAGCTTTGGGAAAGTTTGCAAAACACATTACAAAGCTGGGCTTGGTGGTACTTACCTCTAATCCTATCCTTTGGGAGGCAGAGGCAGGAAGATTGACAGTTGGAAACTATCTTGGGCTGTATAGTGAGCTGCCTCTCAACAGCAACAGCAAAGTAACTGAGAGAACAGAGTATAACTGTAGAGAGGCTTTTGTGTTTGGTTTGGAGTTTGGGGTTTGGGGGAGGTGGTTTTGTTTTTTAAGATAGGGTCTCATGTAGCCCAGGATTACCTTGAACTCCTGATCCTCCTCCCTCTACCTCCCAAGTACAGGGAGGTGCACCACCTCTCCAGTCCTCTACCCCTTCCCATCGTCCTTCCTTATCCCCATTCTCTTCTCCTCCCATCCTGTAGAGACTTTTAGAAGGGCTCACTCACATTTAAGAGATTGGCTTCTGAGAGGCAATTTTGGAAGAGAGAGAAACTTTGTTTTGTACTCAAGCATATACAGTATTTGTTCAATGAATGATGTAAATACACAGAGATCTGAAAAGCTGATCACAGCTCTAAGGAGGGAGGGAGTAGGATGGATAGAAAGATGCATGGATGGATGACTGATGGATGAGAAGGTAAATCAGGTGGATGGATGGATGCATGATGGATGGATGGGTGGATGATGGATGGATGGATGGATGGATGGATGCTGGATGGATGGATGGATGGATGGATGGGAAAGTGGATGGATGGATGGATGGATGGATGGTCGGTAGATGAGAAGTTAAATTGGATGGATGGATTGATGATGGAAAGATGGGAAGCTGGATGGACAGATGAATGGATGGGAATATGGATGGATGGATGGATGATGGGAAGATGGATAGATGGATGATGGGAAGATGGATAGATGAAAAGGTGAATGGATGAATGGGAAGATGGATGGATGGATGATCAATAGATGAGAAGGTAAATTATGGATAGATAGATAAATGGGACTGTAGATGGATAGATGAATGGATAGGAATATGGATGGATGGATGAATGGATGGATGAAAAGGTGGATGGATGGATGGATGAGAAGGTGGATGGACAGATGGATGGATGTGAATATGGATGGATAGATGATGGATGGGAAGATGGATGGATGGATGAATGGATAGATAGGGAATGTGGATGGACAGATGGATGAGACTGTAGATAGATAGATGATAGATAGATAGATAGATAGATAGATGATAGATAGATAGATAGATAGATAGATAGATAGATAGATAAAATGGTTTGGGTGGAGGGGTCAGGAAGGCTGTCTTGCTGTTCTGTGGATTTTTTAATAGGAATGCTGGTATATAATACACGAGGAGAAGTGAATGTATATGACCCAGCAATCCCCAGATCTGGGTCTCAGCACATTTTGGCCCCCTTTGTGACTTCATATGTATAACAGACTCATTAGCTGAACATGTTGAGAGATGCAAGCAAGGGGAGGCACACACACAGCAAGGAACTGTGGACTGTACTATGCCACACCTAGTTCCAGGGCAGCTACAGGGTCTCACAGTGTAGCCCAGGCTAGCCTTGAACTTGTAGGTCTGCTTCCTCAGCCACCTCAGTACTGGGACTGTATGAGTGTGCCACCACTCCCAGCACTTTAAAAAAATCTTTGTGTATGTGTGGGTGATGTGTGTAGGCTATGATATACATGTGCATGTTCATGTGTGTGAGTGCACAGAACACATAGAGAGGTCAGAAGACAACCTCATAGCCAGGTGTGGGAGTGTACACCTTTAATCCCAGCACTTGGGAGGCAGAAGTAGTAGATATTTGTGAGTTTGAGGCCAGCCTGGTCTACATAGTGAGTTCCAGGCCAGCCAGGACGGGACTATACAGTGAGACCCTGTCTTTTCAAAAAAAAGGAAGAAGGAAGGAAGGAAGACAATCTCAGATGTCGGTCTTTCACCTTGGAGCCCAAACCCTTGCTCTTCATGGCTGCATATGCCAGGCTGTCTAGCCTGGGGGATCCTCCTATCTCTGCCTGACATCCTCTGATAACACTGGGATTTCAGAAGTGGACTATCAGGACTGGCTTTTATATAAGTTCTGGGATCTAATTGTAGGTTCTCACAATTTCACAGCAAGCACTTTGCCAACTGAGCCATGTCCCCATACTTGCATTTGTTTATTGAAACAGGGTCTAGCTGTGTTGCCCAGGCTAGCACCACACTTGCTATCCCCCCACTTCAGCCTCCTGAGTGTTGTGATTACAGGTATTATGCCACCATAGGTGGCTGGTAACACTTGTGTAGTCTTGTTTTGTTTTCTGCTTTTGAACAATGACCTTTATTTGTTCTTATTTTCACAGAGTGGGAAAACAGTTTTGGCCAACTTTCTGACCGAATCTTCAGATATCACTGAGTATAACCCAACACAAGGTGTGAGGTAAGCCTGGCCAATCTACAACTCTAAGAGTTGCCGTCCATCACCCACTCCTACTTTTAGTGCTATAGGCATTCCAAAACTGCTTCCTAAATATGGATTCTGCTGCCACTGTTTTTATTTTTAGGATCCTAGAGTTTGAGAACCCACATGTCACCAGCAACAACAAAGGCACAGGCTGTAAATTTGAGCTCTGGGACTGTGGTGGAGACTCCAAGTATGTTTTCTTTAACAAACCTCTGTTTCCACTGATCAGTGAAAAACATCAGGGTTGGGGTTGTGTATCTCAGTGGTAGAGCACCTGCTTAGCTTCCCCCAGTGAGGGGCTGGGAGTGTGGCTCAGTGGTAGAGCACCTGCTTAGCTTCCCCCAGTGAGGGGCTGGGAGTGTGGCTCAGTGGTAGAGCACCTGCTTAGCTTCCCCCAGTGAGGGGCTGGGAGTGTGGCTCAGTGGTAGAGCACCTGCTTAGCTTCCCCCAGTGAGGGGCTGGGAGTGTGGCTCAGTGGTAGAGCACCTGCTTAGCTTCCCCCAGTGAGGGGCTGGTTAGCTTGCCCCAGTGAGGGGCTGGGAGTGTGGCTCAGTGGTAGAGCACCTGCCTAGAATCCCCCAGTGAGGGGCTGGGGGCATAGCTTATGATAGAACATTTGCTAGCATATGCAGGGCTCCCTCCCTGTACCACAAAAAATGAAATGATAGGATAGGATGGAATCCGCTTTCTACCAGGCACCACACGTTCAGGCCTAGCACTTTTCTTACTGTGCATGAGGGGTTGGATGAACTCTTTGGTGACAGACACACTTGTAAACTTTACTGATTCAATTATGATACAGTTAAAATCATCAGCCAGTTATTAATACTAAAATGTTCTTTCAGTTTTTTAATTACATTTTTAATTTTGTGTGTCTGTGTGTGTGTAGACTCATGAGTGGAGATCAGAGGCAACTTGTGGAATTCAGTTCTCTTTCTACCTTGTGAGTCCTGGAGTGCAAACTTAGATCATCAAGCTTGGCTGCAGTCACTTTTACCCACTGAGCCATCTCTCTGTCCCAAAGTGTCCTTTTTAAGATTTATTTTTATTTTATGTGTATGTCTGTTTTGCCTGTATGAATATATGTGTGCCACATGTGTGCAGTAGCTACAGAGGCCAGAAGAAGGCATTGGATCCCCTAGAACTGGAGTTACAGACAGTTGTGAGCCACCATGTGAGTGCTGAGAACTGAACCCAGGTCCTCTGGAGGAGCAGCCAGTGCTCTTAACCATTGAGCCATCTCTCCAGCACCCCTCCCCCTACCACATGTTCTTTTTAAACCCATCATAAGAGGTGCCACTTTAGTGCAGCAGGTGGAAGGTCAGTCTTTTACAGGCTTAGGGCTGGGGATGTAGTTCTGTTGTAGAGCCCTTACCTGGCATGTGTGGGGTGCTGGGTTTTTACTGCAGCACTGCAAAAAAGTAAAACTAAAAACGGACACTGAGCTGTCAGGTGCTCTGCCAGTCTTTCTTGACTCCTTTTTGCCAGCAGGTTTGAGTCATGCTGGCCGGCCCTGATGTCATGTGTGGGGTGCTGGGTTTTTACTGCAGCACTGCAAAAAAGTAAAACTAAAAACGGACACTGAGCTGTCAGGTGCTCTGCCAGTCTTTCTTGACTCCTTTTTGCCAGCAGGTTTGAGTCATGCTGGCCGGCCCTGATGAAGGATGCTCATGGAGTGGTGATCATCTTCAATGCTGACATCCCAAGCCACCTGAAGGAGATTGAGATGTGGTATTCCTGCTTTGTCCAGCAGCAGTTTCTCCAGGATAGTCACTGCATGCTTGTGGCCCACCACAAACCAGGCTCAGGAGGGGACAAGGGGAGCCTGGCTTTGTGTAAGCACATTGGGCTAAGGGCTTGTGTAAGCACTAGGGCTCCCTGGCCAGCCAGCCTAGACTACTTGTCAAGCTCCAGACCAGTGAGAGACCCTGTATCAAAAAACAAGGTGGAAGCTGGAGAGGTGGGTCAGCAGTTAAGAGCACTGGCTGCTCTTCCAGAGGACCTGGGTTTGGTAGTTCCCAGCATCATGTGGGGCAGCTTACAACTGCCTGTAACTCCATCTTCAGGAAATCCAACACCCTCTTCTGGCCTCTGTGGGCACTGCACATACATGGTACATGTACATATACTCAGGCATACCCATATAAATATAAAACAAAATTTAAAAGTTTAAAAACACCAAACAAAAAGTACGGTGGGTGGCATTCCTGAGGATGTCACCTGAAGACAGCCTCTGGTCTCTGTGGCATGCACACTTGTATGTGTATACACACACATTGCTCAAAAATTATACACAAAAGTAGGAATAGAAATCCCAGTGTGCAGGAGAGCAAGATGGCTCAGCCTGTAAAGGCGCTTGGTACCAAGCTTGATAGCTGAGTTTGATCCCCAGAACTGACATGGTGGAGAGAGAGAACCAATTCCAGTGAATTGTCCTGTGACCTCCTGTGAATGCATGCACCCCCCCATATAATTAAATATGTGTGATAATTTTTTTTCATTTGAGTTTTGAGAGTCTCCCTATAGCCCCAGCTAGCCTGGAAGTCACTGTGTAGACCAGGCTGGCCTCTATCTCACAGAGATCCACCAGCCTCTGCCTCCAGAGTACTGGGATTAAAAGTGTACACCACCACACCCAGCATGATGATAAAAATTTTAAGGGGAAAGAGGAGTTGGAGAGATGGCTCAGCAATTAAGAGCACTGGCTGCTCTTATAGAGGACCCCAGTTCCGTTCCCAGCACCTACATGGCAACTAACAACCATTCAGGCCCTATTCTGGCCTCCATGGGCATTGCATACACATGGTACACTTACATACATGCAGGCAAAACAAGCATACGCATAAAATATAAATAAATACTTTTAAAAATTAATAAAAGGAAAGAAGGCTGGGATTACAAGTGCACACCACCATAGCTGGCTTTTTTTGCATGAGTTATGGGCATCAGTCTAAGATCCTTGTACTGATTTTGAGATCTCTCTCCCTCTCCCTCTCGCCATTTGTCCCTCCCTCCCTCTCTCTTCCTCTGTCCCCTTCCCTCCTTCTCCCTTCCATCTCTCCCTCCCTTCCCGTCTCTCTCTCTCCCCCTCCATATCTCTCTCCCTCTTCCTCTCCTCCCCACCTCAATAGTTCTCAATATATAACCCAGGCTGGCCCTTAACTGATTATGTACCCTGGGATGGCTTTGAACTCCTGATCCTCCTGCCTCAGGCTCCCAAGTGCTAGGACCACCACACACACACACACACACACACACACACACACATTTGTAAATATACATTTTTTAAAAATGTGTGTGTGTGTGTGTGTGTGCGTGTACATGCATGCCTGTGGAGGTTAGAGGACAACCAGCAGGAGTTGGTTCTCTCCTTTCACCATGTGAGCCCGGGAATGGAGCTTAGGTGACCTTGGCCTTTCCCCCGCCCCCAGCCATCTCCACAGCCCTCCTGTGTGTGTTCTTGCATGTCTTGAAAGCAGCAGCTGTGTCTCTTGTCTCAGCTGTCGTTCAGACTCCCAGGTTGGAAAATCCATCAGACCCACCAGGCCAGGCTGTGGGCACATACAAAGACCAGAGAGCTGGGCATGGAGACACATTTAGTGACAGTACTTGGGAGGTTGAGGCAGGAGGATTGATGGAAGTTCAACACCAACCTGGGCTACACAGCAAGACCCTGTCTGAAACACAAAATAAAACAGGAAGAAACCTTTCGGCTATTTGTTGGCCCTGTTCAGAACATGCTTTCCTAACAGATGCTTTACTAAGAAAAGCCTCAGGTCTGAATGTAACGCTCACATGACAGAAGTGATGACGCAATACTGACAAACACCTCTAAAAATATTTACAAACGAAATGGTGATAGGACAGAATCTCCTCTGGGTTAAGAACTAAGAAGAAAGGCTGGGTGTGTGGGTTAATAATAGAGTGCTTGCAGCTGGGGACCTGTCTCAGTGGTAGAGCCCCTGCCTAGGATCCACCAGTGAGGAGTTGAGGGCATGGTCCAGTGGAAGATCATCTGCCTAGAATCCCCCAGTGAGGGGCTGGGGTGTGGCTCAGTGGTAGAGCACCTGCCTAGAATCCCCCAGAAGGGCTGGGGACGTGTCTCAGTGGTAGAGCACCTGCCTAGCATTCCCCAGTGGGGAATTAAGGGCACAGCTCAGTAGCAGAGTACTTGCTAATGTGCACAAAGCTTTGGGTTCCTTCTCCAGTTCCACAAAAACAGGCCTGGCAGTGTCTTTAGTGTCTTTCCTATTGCCAAGGAGCAGTTTCTCAAAACCATTCTCTGTGTATCAAGCAGCACACGACTTAATTTTAAAACTTTAGAAGTTAAGCAAGGGGCTCGAGAGATGGTTTGGCATTTAAAAGCACTGGCTGCTCTTACAGAGGACCTGGGTTCAGTTCCCAGCACCCACATGACTGCTAACAACTATTCTTAAAACTCCATTTCCAGGGGACCAAACTCTCTCTTCTGGCCTATGTGGGCATTGCACACATGTGGTGTACTTACATATATGCAGGGAAAAGATGACTCATACACATAAAAAATAATAAATAAATAAATAAATAAATAAATAAATAAATAAATAAATAAATAAAATTTAGAAGTTAAGCCAGTCACTGGACTAGTGAAGCAGGCCTGCAATCTCAGCATTTAGATTCAGGCAGGAGGATCATGAGTTCAAGAGCAGCCTGGGCTATGTCTAGAGACCTGCCATGAAAGGAGGGAGGGAGAGCTTCTAGAAGCTTCTAGTTGCTTCCACCTAGAAAGAGCCCCTTGTTCAGATTTCATACCTAATTAACCTTGTTTCCCCCTTAAAGCTCCGCCCTTGAACAAGCTCAAGCTGGTACACTCTAATCTGGAGGAGGACCCAGAGGAGATCCGCATGGAATTCATCAAGTATTTTAAAAGCATCATTAGTGCCATGTCAGAGAGCAGAGACCGGGAGGAGCTGCTCATCATCACCTAAGCCCTGCCCCTGTCCCAATGACGCCAGCAGCCTGTCCCCCTCCTCCTGATGACGTCAGCTTCCTTCTGCAGGCAGAACTGAAATCCATTCAGTTGATCAAGCTGTCTTGTCCCTGTGGCTAAAGAAGAAACGTTCTCTATCTACTAGAAGGTTCCAGTCAGAGCCAGAAGTGATGGCACACACCTGTAATCCTAGCACTTTGGGGAGGTGAGGGAGGCTGAGACAGGAGGATTGAGAGTTCAAGGCCAGCCTGAGCTACATGAAGAGAACTTGTCTCAACCCTTCTCCCTGTTCAGCTGTCTTAGATAAACAATATCCTTTCAGTGATCTGCCCAGTGCTGTATTTTCATGTTTGAAGTTTTTAAAGATTTATTTTTATTTTATATGTATCTGAGTGTTTTGCCTGCATATATGTAAGTGCACCACATGCATGCAGTGCCTGCAGAGATCAGAAGAGGACATCGGATCCCCTGGAACTGGAGTTACAGATGGTTATGGGTGCTGGGAACTGAACCCCAGTTCTCTGCAAGAGCAGCCAGTGCTCTCAACCACTGAGCTGTCTCTTCAGCCCCCAGGTTTGAGCTTTTGTCCCTGAGTGTGAGAAGGCTGTGTTATTTCTTACAGACAGGATATACATCTTTGATCTGCTGCTTTCAAAAGTGGTTACAGGGCTGTTAAGTATAAACTCAGTGTTAAAAGAATCAACAACAGGCCAGGCATGGTGGTGCACGCCCTTGATACCAGTCCTTTGTATAGGCTTTGAAAGTAGTCTTATCTCCAAAGGCTCAGTGCATACTTATTCTAACTCAAGCCGAATTGGAGCTTTTAAGTATCCAATGTGTGTGAAATCAGAGTAAGCCAGAGTTTGTGCTAAGTTATACACATAGAAACTTACTTCAAGGGGCCCAGAGATGCCTCAGCCATCAACAGTGCTTACTGCTCTTCCAGAGGACCTGAGATCCGTTCCCAGCACCCACATTTGACAGCCTACAGCTGCCTGTAACTCCAGCTCTGGGGGAATCTGATGCCTTCTTCTGGCCTCTGCAGGTATTGCACTCATATGCACACACCCAATACACAGACACACTCAAGATTCACATAATTGAAAAGAAGATCTTAAAAAGCAACTTAGGAGGGGCTTGAGAGATAGCTCAGTGGTTAAGACCACTGGCTGCTCCTGTAGAGGACCCAGGTTCAGTTCCCAGCACCACATGGCAGCTAACAACCATCCATAACTCCAGTTCCAGTGGATTTTTTTTTTTTTTTTGGTCTTTTTGAGATAGGGTCTCCATGTAGCCACAGCTGACCTGGAACTTGCTATGTAGACCAGGCTGGCCTTGAACTCACAGAGATCCACCTGCGTCTGCCTCCCAAGTGCTGGGATTAAAAGGCGTGTGCTACCATGCTAGTTCCAGTGGTTTTTGAGGCCCTCTTTTGGCCTTTGTGGGTATTGCGTGCATGGCTGCACCTGCATACACACTGGCAGAACATCCATACACAAAAAATAAAAATAAATTTTAAAAAATTAAAAACATGAAGTTGGGCTCTAAACTTTATTATATTTATTGTGTATTCGCACACACACACAGAGGTCACAGTATGTGTGTGGACGTCAGAGAACAATTTGCAGGAGTCACTTCTCTCCTTCCACCACGTGGGACCCAGAGACTGAACTCAGGTCTGTGGCATTCTCCTTTACCTCCTGCATCATCTACCAGCTTGAGCTCTGAATTTTAATATTTTTAAAAATTTGATGTGTATGAGTATATTGACTGCATGTATGTAAGTGCACCCATGTTGTGCAATGTCCACAGAGGTCAGAAGAGGGTGTCGCATCCCCTGGAACTGGAGCTATGGGTGGCTGTTAGCTGCCATGTGAGTGCTGGGAATCGAACCCAGGTCCTCTGCAAAAGCAGCCAGTGCTCTTAACCACTGAGCTGTCTCTCCAGCCCCTCAAGCTCTGAATTTTAAAAAGGTTCCTTTCTGGTGTCGGCCATAAATAAGATGAACAATCTAATTCTTCTGCATGGGAAGAATGAAGGGAGACAGCAGGTGAGCTCAAAGACACATGCGGGTCCAGGATCATAGACTGGCTTCAGTTAGCTGCCAGTGCTGCCCATCACACCTACGAAAAACAGGAATTGAATCTTTAAACTGGGCTTTATTGAGAGAGCCAGCCTTCTGAGAAGACAAGGATCACCATCAAAGACCTTGTTTCTGTCTCATCTTTAGCCAGCAGATTATGTAGAGTGGAAACAGGCCACCAGTCCTTCCAAAGTTTAGTCTTGTGCCTCTGGTGGGCGGTCAGCCTTGTCTCTGAAACCTCTCAATTATTGTTTCTCTGTGCGGGGGATTAACTCAGAACAAGCAAACCGTTAGCCGGGTGTAATATGCTAAGCTGCGTGAAGCTTTCTTCCTACAGAATGAATGAGAAATGTCCTCTTAACAATTCTATTAGCCTTTGGGCAGTTTACGTAGGTGCAAAGCAGATCTGACTGGAAGATGACTGAAGACAGGCTAGCCAGGTAAATACTTCACTTAGGAAATGCATTGTCTGGAACACAGCGCTGAGGGTTGACATAAAGAGGAACAGAGAGCTTATCTAAGTTCTTAAGGCGGAAATTATGTGTTCAAGATATGTGGTCAAGATATGAAGGGGAAGTATTTTTTCCCTACTTGAATGCTTGGCTGGTAATCAATAGGCTACATTTCCCACAATTCCTGGAGGCATTTCCCAGAGGGCTGTGCGCCATTAGCCATGGCCCTGATTGACTGTGGAAAGGGAAAAGAAGGCAAAAACAGAAGCACTCTGGTTTTCGCTTCTTTATTCGCTGGCTTCCAAATATTCCGGGAATGGTATCTATGGCAACAAGGCCCTTTACTGGTGTGGAACCTCGAAATCCGAACTGTCCCTGAGAATTCTGGGAGATGTAGTTGCCAATTGCCCAGCCTCTTCGGACAGCAGAAGTGCGCGCCCCGATGGCTGGGGGCGTGTGGACAGCCAGGCCGGAAGGGTTAGTGACAGTTCTGCGCACGACCACCTTGCAGGCCACCAACGACCGCAGAACAACGAACTCCCTGTCGAGAGCGCTCTTCGGCCTGCGCGGTAACCCACTCGTCGCTGAGGACTCTGGGAAATATAGTTGGGCGCGAGCAGCGGCCGTTAGCGGCGGACGCTGAGGCTCTGCGGGGATATTTGGCTCGCACCAGCCGGAGGACTGTGAGGATTTTCCAGAATCCAGAAAACCTAGAACCAAACCTGGGGTCGGCTGCGCTCCCGGGAGGCCAGGCCCTGAGCAGGGTGCCGCAGTCGCCACCTCTACCTGGACCCGGGTGTCCATGAGCTTGGAGGATGGCTCGTGGGGTAAGAGCGCTTACTATGAAAGCATGAGGATCAGAGTTCGAATCCCCAGCACTGGCATGGTCGCACGCACCTGTGACTCCAGGGCTGTGGAGAGCAGAGAGGAGACTCTTTGGGGGCGTGTTCTAGGTTCAGAGAGATGACTTGTCTCCGGGAACAAGGTGAAGAGAGATAGAGCCGAATACCCAGTGTTCACTTCTGGCTACTGCGTGCGCGCACCTGCACGGGCGCATCTGCACAGGCACGTGTGCATAAACCACACACACACACACACTAAATGATAGACACCGTCCAGCTAAGTCAACTTCTGTTAGAGAAGGGGCAACCGAAGCCAAAGGAAGTCAATGATTTACCCCCAAATTCCAGGGTCCGGCCCTGGGCTGATTGACCCACCCTCTGTTTACATAACAAACCAGTGTTTGCCCCCCAGAACAGGCTATCAAAGTGTTAAATCCTGTTAACTTCTAAAAGCAAACAGCGAAATACTCCAACAAGTAAATGAAGAGATTTTTTTAAAAAAACATTTATTTGGGATGAGAGCTTGTGGAGGTCAGAGCAAACTTGCTGGAGTCAGGAGTTGATTCTCTGCTTCCACCATGTGGGTACCAGGGATTGAACTCAAGTTGTCAGACTTGGTGGTGAGCACCTTTGCCTTCTGAGCCATCTCATCAGCCCCCCCCCTTTTTTTATTTGTTTTCTTTTGTTTTTTAAAAACATTTCAAAACTTTTAAATTTTTTATTCTTTTTATTTTATGTGTATGCGTGTATTGCCTGCATGTAGGTAAGTGTACCCGTGTCGTGCAATGCCCAACGGAGGTCAGAAGAGGCTTTCGGATTCCCTGCAACTGGAGTTACAGACAGTTGTTAGCTGCCATGTGGGTGCTGGGATTCGAACCCGGGTCTTCTGCAAGAACAACCAGTGTGCTTAACCGCTGAGCCATCTCTCCAGCCCCAGAAAAAAATATATTTTTAAATTTTTATATTTTATGTTTTGTGAGCATATATGTAAATGCATGCAATGCCCGTGGAGGCCAGAAGAGGGCACCAGATCCCCTGGAACTGGAATTATAGACAGCCTCCATCCAACCAAACCTAGGTCCTTTTCAAGAGCAGCCAGTGCTCCTAACCGCTGCGCCACCTCTGCAGCCCAATTTCGTTTGTTTTTTAAGTTATTTTTAAATTTTGTGAGAACATGATAACAGATACCAGAAGAGGGCATCAGATGCCCCAGAGCTGGAGGTAAGCACAGTTGTGAGCCACTTATGTGGGTGCTGGGAACCGAACTCTCTCTAGTCCTCTGAGGGAGGGGTTTGTCCTCTTACCCACTATTAACCACTGAGCCATGTCTCCAGCCCCTTGTTTTGTTTCTTTGAAACAAGGTTTAGCTATGCAATCCCAGGCTGGCCAGGAACTTGCAGTGATTTTCCTGCCTTGGCTTCCTCCAAACCCTAGGAATGCAGAGGTGTGAGATTTTTTTTTTTATCTTGGAATGAGGAATGACCTGTAGATGAACAGAGCCATCCACCAAATGTAACATGTAGACTTTATTGGGTCATTATTCTAACATCAGAAAAAAAATTTATTATATTATTTATCATCTTTATTCAATGTGTATGAGTATATTGCCTGCATGCATATGAGTGCACCCATGTTGTGCAGTGCTGTGGAGGTCAGAAGAGGGTCCCGGATTTCCCTGCAACTGGAGCTAAGGACAGTTTGTAGCCGCCATATGGGTGTTGGGATTCGAACCCGGGTCCTCTGCAAAAGCAGTCAGTGCTCTTAACCACTGAGCCATCTCTCCAGAGCCCCACATCAGAAAAAATTTAAAATAAGAGATGTGTCTATTGTTGGATGATATTAAGGAATATTTAGAAGTTTAAAGCCTTGATAATACTCTATGGGTCATGCTTTAAAGCTGGAGAGATGGCTTAGCAGTTAAGACCTCTAGCTGCTCTTGCAGAGGACATGGGTTCAGTTCCCAGCACCCACATGATGACTCACAACCATCCATAACTCCAGTTC